AGTAAAAATAATTAAGTATCTGAACGAAGAATTCTAGTCTCTTCCCAAATTTGATTGTCCTGACTAATCACCTGTTAGGCTTAATTAATTTTAGAATGTTTTAAAGTAGTGCAATTGTGATGTATTTTAACGTGTGATATGATGAGGCTGTTGACGAACTGTGATTGTTTTTTAAATTAATGAAATTTGTTATCTGTTATTTAAAAAGAAACTGATGATGGTGGAAAAATACACCGAAACGTATTTTAATTGATAAATAGAGACAATAAATGACTGAGACCCAGGAATTAATTTTGATGTGCATCAATAATTAAAGAAATTTACAGCGAAACGGCGACATGAACTAATTGTCTGTATTTGTCGGTTTGTTTGCTTTATTCCATCAGGTTCTGAGCTGCAGTTTGGCTCAATCTGGGGTGCAAGTCATTTTTGCCAAATTTTCAAAAATTCCCAAAAATCGAGTGTGTGCACTCGCAGCAAAAAGTGCACCATTTTTTCTATATTTGGTGGCACTGAAATCCCTAACCGCCTTGCAGTGGGAAACATCAATTTAAAAAAAAGCGCTGCGCTATTTCCTTCCATTGATGGGTTCAAAAAATTCTCAAAAATTCCCAGATGGAACCACGCAATTGAAACTCATAGGGCTTTCAACGGCATCATTTGTCTATAGTCGATAAGTATTTCAAACCTCTAACTGCCCTGGATTGGAAGATACGAATTTTTAGCGCTTGAGCAATTTGAAGACAATCGTTCAATGCTAGTTTCGAAAAATTCTCAAAAATTCCCCGATGGAACCACACAAATGAGACTTATAGGAGTTTAAAGAGCATCCTTTCTCTATATTCGGTCGGTTTTCGTGAAAATGTCGAGCCCCTAACCGTCCTAGAATGGAAGACATGAATTTTTTAATAAAAGCTTGCGCACCCTGCGTGCTCAAAAATCTGTTTGTCATTAACAAAATCAATGAGATTCTCACTATTTCCCGATGTACTGAAGATCACCAGATGACAAGTTGAGAAGACGATCTTCGTACGTAGTGTAGCCCGGGCCTTAGTCGTCGACTCTGGTTGATTTGAGGGCTAAAAATGATGATGAGAGAAACAATCCGAAACCGGCCGTTTCAGATAGGGTTCCTGCGATTTGCCATAATTTGGGGCCGCGGCAGGCAATCGGAAGGGCAGGCAAGGCACGCGAAGGTCGCGACTGACGTCAAGGGCTTAATGGGGCGAAAAACGCGATCCAACTGACTTTGAACTATAAATTCGCGTTTGGGATGTTTGGAAGGGCCATTAGCAGGTGAACATAATAATTGGCCTTGCTTTAACTGCGATTTATCGGACTCATTTGCGAAATGCAGCAGGAATCAAGGCTACAAGGCGGCAATCGAGGGATTGTTCTTATCCACCCTCTACTGTGTAATAATGGTTTTTCTCGAATCAACGTCCCCCGATTGTTGGAGCCTCATGTTTCTTTTATTGCCATTCGATATAACAAAAGCGCCCCGTTTCGGGTGCTTATTAAACAATCATGGCAATTAAATATTGAAGACCGGGCCCCAATGTGGAAGTTTTTGATGGTTAATTTTCTCGAGCGCACACTTTTCCAAGTTTCCTGTTGTGAATAGAAGAGTTTTCATTTTCCTTCAAAGATGCAAATGAGGTTTAGACAGGAACCTTCCTCTAGCGCTAATTTAAAAGTAGCTAATGAACAAATCGGTATTTTCGCTCCATTTTGCCATTCGTGACGATCGCCAATCAATCTTCTATCATCACGATTAAACCCTCACCCCATCAATTTAAACGGATTTTTCGCGTGCAGGTTTTATTAGCATGAAGGGCATCAATTGCCGAACTGGAAAGATAACGGCAAAGAAGAACATAGATTTTTCCATTTAAACTTTGTCTGGCCTCCGCCTGAAGCCTGCTTGCTTCTCTATCTTTGGGTGCAAAACGGTTAATAATTCACCAAACTCCCCCTTTGTGGAATGTTAATTGGGGGGGTTGAATCGCCTTGGAAAAAACAGGCTCAATCAATATCAAAGTTCAAGTATGAATGAGTCACTGACTGACAGGAATGCGGGGGAAATCATTAGTTTCCAACCTTGTGTGGGGTCATGTCGGCTTTCCAATACATTTTCCGCCTCTTCTCCTCAACAATATTCACAATTTAAATGTGTAATATTACTACATTTGGGCCGGTAAGAGCCTTCGCCACCCACTCCCAAGACTGTTATTTGATATCGTCGTTAATCTTTGCCGGTTTCCCTTAAAAGCTCTGAACTTGGCCCTTTCGAATCACCGTGGGCGAATGGAATGTTTTTTACTGATCATTATTCCAGGCATCATACCTGGAAATAGCCGTGAGTTCGTGGTCTGGAGACATTTGAATGGAAATTGACCATTTGGAACTATTTCTATTCTTCCTGTTGAAGAAATTTTGCGGTCCCAAAAAGCCCTTCTGGGCCGATAGGACAGAAAAAGTAGAAAACCTTCTGCGTTTTGTTTGTCAAAAACATTTCAACTGAGACTTTTCCAGCTGAATGGATTCTGTTCCGTCGTCGTTTCGCTCTGTTCCCAAACGTTTGTGACTTCCGCAAACTTTGCTTCTTGTACATCCGAGCAAAAAGGGATTAAGTAAAAAGGAAGGAAATTGCGTAGCAGGCTGAATTTTTTTAAAACAATTCATGCTCGTTTTTCAGTGTTCACTAATCGATTAGCATAAATTTCCATATCAAGTCTTGGCATCCATCGGCACGTGTTGGACTAATTTCCTCCTCCAAGTGAATTGACTGCAGCGGTTTCGTGAAGTTTTCATTAAAAGCTTTAAGTTTGCACAGAATTCTGATTTACTTTCAGTTCGCGTTTGCTTCGGAATCGTTTTTGAGACAACTGCCAGCATTTCCCCATCCATGGTTCACTTTCTAAAAAGGCCATTTATTTCTGTCTAGAATGATGTACAAATGAGCGTTCTTG